AGGGACACCCCACACTTCCCAGCGCTCCTTCCACCCTCTGCCGTGAGTCTGGCGTTCCTCGGGACCTGGAATTCTGGCTCCGACGTCAGAGCAGGCACTGCTGGAGCATTTCAGCCACTGCCAAGCACCACCGTACACCGACAGCTCCCGTCTGGCACCGGGAGCCGCCAGAGGTCACATTCCCGGCCGCGCTCACAGAGCTGCTTTGTTCCCAGCGCGGCTCTAATTAGGAAATTGCGCTGAGTTTTTTTTTCCCTTTTCCCACAGTTGAACTATCAAAACTCAGCTTGTTCCCTGCCAGAGCCTCTTCCATCGCGCCGCTGGTGACTCAGCGTGACACCAGGGCACCGAAAATATGGAAGAGTGAAAGGGAAGGAGCCAATAGTCAGTTCCCCTGTGGGGCTGAGTGGGCAGTCGTGGGGGTTTGGGATTGTGAGGTTTGGGTGCAAAACAAAGCAGCCCAGTGGTACCACCAAGTGTGGGCAGCACCCTTGGACCCCAGGCCCCCCTGCACGGGACAGGGCGAGCTTGGGTGGGGATGATGGTGAGGAGGAGGAGGAGAAGGAGGAAAATGGAGACTCTCCTGCAAACTTCTCCAAAGCTGCACCTGGTCCTGACTTGGGGTTTGCCAAGTGTTCAGCTGTTCTGGGGCTGTGCAGCTGTTTTGGGGGTGTTCAGCCGTGTCAGGGGGCACTGGCAGCTCACCCTCCCCAGGCAGCGCTGCCATCCAGCTGTGTTGGCATAGAAACTGCCAGGGCTCTGCCACTGCCTCCCGTTACACAACTCCCTTACCCCCCAGGGAAGGGGCTGTTGAGGAGGGGGAACAGCTCCTGGGTGGCCTTTGCCCCAAGCCAATTTCCTGCTGGCTCCCAGCACATGGAGGCACTGGGAAGAGGCCAACACAGCCGCAGAGAGCAGTGCTGGTGCCCAGCGGCTCCACTGCCTCCTGGACAACAGGGAATAAAGTCTATTTAAAGGTGCTGCTGCTTTGCATAACGCTGGCAGCAATTCCTGCTCCCCCACCCCTCACTCCCAGGGGTGTTGGATGTTGGCTAAAGGGTCCTGGAGCAGATCCCATGGGATGGGGCAGCTGCCAGCAGTGTCCCCCTGGGACACATCCTGTGGAGAGGAGTAGGGAATAGGCAGTGGCTCCCAATGGAGTTTCTCCTTTCCCCCTTTCCCCTGCATAGGGCTGTGATCCCACATTGCCACGCGAGTCACATTAAAGGCCATGGAGCTGCATTCTGCACCAAGCAGTGCCTTGGGAATACCACAGAGCTCCAGCAGCAGCTCCGGGAGGAGTGAGACATCACCCACCCCTGGGAATGCTATGGGAATGAAATTCCCTCACCTCCACATGTGCCATACCTGGATGGGTTCAGTTGCTGTGGGGTTTGTCCAGTGGTCAGGACAAATCTGGTGCCTCTGGAGAGGGGCCAGGGCTGTGGAATTTGGGGAGGGCTGGGGGATCCAAGGAGGGCTGAGGGATCCAGGGAAGGCTCCAGGCAGTGCAGGGGGTGGCTGAGAAAGCAGCTTGAGGTTTGTTCGTATTCTCCAGGGTTTAATTACCAGCGATCAGTGCTGCCTCCACGATGTTCTTCGAGGGAGGACACTCCTCCAGCTCAACATCTGGCCAAGTCAAACACAGCTGGAGGAGCTCGGTGCGGGCACGGCAGGAGTTGGCTCCCACCCACAGCCACAGCTGAGTGGGTACAGGGAGTGGTAATTAAACACAGCAAACACGGCACAGCTGCTTTCCCAGGGCCTGGAACGCCCCCAGCACCTCCTG